GCCCAACCCTGACCCCAGCAGACGAGGGGTGGCCCCCCCAGTGCCCAGCACAGGGGCACGGTCCCTGCCCTGCTCCTGCTAGCCACACCACTCCTGATACAAGCCAGGATGCCGCTGGCCCTCTTGGCCACCTGGGCACCCTGCTGGCTCATATTCAGCCCCCTGGCGACCAGCACCCCCAGGGCCTTTTCTGCCGGGCAGCTTTCCAGCCCCTCTGCCCCACGCCTGGAGCGTTGCCTGGGGTTGTTGTGACCCCAGGGCAGGACCCGGCCCTTGGCCTTGTTGACCCTCACCCAGTTGGGCTGGGCCCATGGATCCAGCCTGGCCAGGTCTCTCTGCAGAGCCCTCCTCCCCTCAAGGAAATATGAAGGAATAATCAATGATTGCTGTGATGAAAACTGTGACAGATTCTCATGAAAGTAAAAACTCGGAAAGAACTAAAACATCTATTACATTGCCCACAAAATAAGTTGCTGTGGAAGCAGCTTTTGCCAAGGTGCTCTATAAAGCCAATTGAGATATACAGATCATTCACAATCTTTCAACGATGTTGCCCAACTCCTGGGTCTGGCTTTTCAAGACTGGAATTTTATGACCAAGGAGGGTGAAGAACTACCAAAACCCAGAGCGACAGCTTGTTTCATGCAGGGTTGTCAGGGTATACGATTATCTTCTAGAAACAATAAAATAAAAAATCTGTCCTTGAAGCATCCTAAATACTGAACTGGAGAAGGTCACTGAAAGGCTGAAATAGCTATTTGCACCCTATTTTTTCCCTGGGAGGAAGAACAAGATTTGACAAGTTGCAGTGATGGAAGATTTTTGTACTCTTAGCGTCCTAGGAAAAAAGACCTCATAACCAAAAGCATGCAAGCAGAGCTGAAAGCATCGCTTTTGAGTTTTTCAGGATGGAGTGGTCTTCGCACTGGTCAATTATTTGCCATAAATACTTCTTGGCTGGTCTCCAGGTGCTGCAGTGGTTTCTCCCTTCTCCTCCCGCCTCCCCAGTTAATTATACATTGATTTTAGTGCCGTAGGGTTTAAACTGCAGAGTTAAGCAAGGAGAGATGGAAAAATGCTACAGGATTTTAGGAAAATTATGAATGGAGAGGAACAGGGTATCTCTGCAGCTATGCTAAGACCAGTAGCAAAACCCATGGGCAACCCTCAAGTCAGGACTCCCCAAACCTCCCCTGGGACTCACAACAGCAGAGCCAGGAGCACCCACTGCACCGGGGAGCAGGACCACTTGCTTAGTAAGCACAAAACCACCTTTCTGTGGCCTCTTCCAAATGAAACCACAGCTGTTCCAGTGCTCTAGGGCTTTCAGAGCAAGAGGACAGATGGATTTGGCCCTGCAGCTGCTTTATTAAAGAAGATAATAAAAGACCCAACCCATGAGCTGGTTTTTTCATTTTCCCATGTGGCTGTAATTTAGGAGCAACTTTTTTAACAGTTATTTCCACAAATGCCTTGAAGATTTCAGAGATGGGAGCCAAAGGTGGTGCTGGGTCTTCTAATGGGGCCAGACCCCCAAAGGGGGACCCAAATCTCCCTTCACCTCTCTGCCACCTTCCCACGCTGGCAGAGAAGGGAGAGAAATTGGTTTCTATAAACCTATTTTTACTTTTTGTTTCCTTTTTTCCTTCTTAAGGAGTTGAGCTCAGCTGGCCAGGGAGATGCCCATCACCAGTTTTTGCCTGTCCACGGAGGTCACTGGCAGAGGTTTTACACGGGCCGAGTGCGGCAGAGCCATCTCACGTCAACGCACAGAAGCTGCCGTCAATTGTCAGAGGTTCGTTGCAGCTTTGGAGGAGATGAGAGGAACTGATAGGCAGTCCACTCCTCCCCAAAAACCAGGACAGGGAGTTTCTCATGACGTTCAACATCACGCTTAGCCGACTCTTTACTGAGCGTATTTATAACTCCTTTGTTCCGTATAAAAAGGCTGATGGCTATGCTGACATTAACACAAAGCTGCTTGGCACTAAAATGCAATTGATGCATTTTTAGAATTATTTGCCCTTGTCATCTTCGGGGCTTATTTATAGTTTATGTTTTCTGATTTATTAGGCCCTAAAAACCTCTTTTGAATTTTGTATCACAATCAGCAACAGCCACACCCCCCATAACCATTCCTTTTTAAGATGCAAGAGTTTGAAGCCTTGTATGCTTTGGATGTGCAGTGTGAAAGTCTGAAATAATAATTTACAAACCTTATTTTCTTTCAAAAAACCAGTATAAACATATAATATATATTCATATATAAAATATAAATATAATCAAGATTTTTTTTTGTTAAAGTGACTATTGGAGCAGGTGCCTGAAACCAGAAATTAAAAAAAAAAAAAGGAAAGCAAACTGTCCACTGCAAAGAGCTTTTGAATGGGGAGCTTCAGGCAAGCAGAGAAGTTGTCCTCTAGGTCAATGCTTGCTTCCAGGCAAGATGGGTGCAGAGGATATAGATCCGTTATTTTGCTACTTGCCATCCACCTCTGTATGGGATCAAAGCTAGATCCCCTTATCTGCCACGCAGCGGAATTTTCCAAGATTGCACCACAGCAAATTACTTCTCAGGACCAAACTGAAAGCACCAGCTGAAACACTGGACACAACACATCCTCTGGCAGTCTTACTTTGCAACTCATCACTTGATAACGAATCTTTTAGATTTGAGGAACCCAGGACCTAGTGGGGGCTTTGCAAAACGAAAAAAAAAATATATATGAAAAAGGGAAAAATCTATCGTGGATATAAACCAACCTAAATAAACTCTGTTTTTCCTGAAAAACACTAGTGTTTTCTTCTCCCCTTCTCGCCCCAGATAGCGAGCTTGCTGAATAAAGCACACCAGCAGCACAATGCCACACCGAATTCCCAGCACGGTACCTGGATGGGAAGCCAGCTGCACTTATGCGGATGGTCTCCAGCACTCCACAAGCTCTCAGCTGCTGCACCGCTCTCTTCGGATCAAATCTGAAATTATATTTAGGATAGAGATTAACAGAGCGAGAAGGAACCCACATCATCAACCCACTTGAAAGCGACTCTTTTGGGGACAGGAGTTAGCTTTCGATTTATGGAAAACAGCTCTGCTCTTGTCATTAGTACAGGGGCTGAAGAAAACCATACATCCATGTATAGCTTTTGTCCATTCCCTTGCAAACCTCGGTATAACCACAAATCCCATGCCTTGCTTTGGGAACAGGCTGCATGGATATCACATGTTTTCTCTCCATGTCACAAGATGTTGTGCTCTTCAAGTGCAACGGACCTTGCTATTGCCCTACTATCAACGCCAAGCAGTGCTCCTGGGACAAGACAACAATCTGCTGCAATTAGTCTTCACGCCCATAACCTACCCAGCTATATAAAGCAGCACAGTTACGATAAAGAAAGGAACAGGCTACCCCATCACAAGCTGCCTGATGAACCAAACAGTATTACTTTTGCAGCTATAAAGGCAACAACATACTTCCAGAAAGAAATCCAATTCAGCAGCAAAATAAATCCAATCTACTAAATTCTATACTAAACCCAAGAAACTAACAGGTCCCACAGGTTTGCAGACAGTTAAGTTTCCCAAGAACCACTGTGCCCAAGTTCCAGACTAAGGGCTTTGGTAGGTGTCACATGGAAATTCAAGGTATTTCTGCTCTCGGCTGTCCTCCCTCCTCTTTCTAGCAGGCATTATCCCTCACCACTGAGGTGCTGAAAAACTTTGTGCCAACTTCCAGCTGAATACTTGGGTGGTGCTCTCTCCAGCTCCTGGCATGAGCCCACTTTCAGACTGGTCTAGCTTTGTACAGAGTGCAGCATCCCCCCATCACTTCTGTCTCCTTCCACCCCTGACACCAAATGCACAAAGAGGTCCAGCTTAAGACGTTGGACCCTAGAAGAGGTGGTTGGATCAAGCTTGGATTCACACAATGCAGATGTCCATAGCTGCATTAGGTTTCCAGAATGAAGTGGAGGAACAAAACCTTCTCAGGTACCTGCCTGTCCCTTTGTGAAAGGCCAAATTATTTATGCCCACAGGTCAAGAGTGCATGAATAATTCTGCTTCGCCTCCACTGTGCAAAAACAGCATAAGAAATAGGCCCCTGCTACTCTGTGGGTTTTTAAATTCCCTGGACCTGTCGAGTCTACAGCAAGTTATTCACTACAGCACCACAGAAACGATGCAGGGTGGAAAATCAGTCTTAGCTGTCACTTACTTTGAGGAAGAATCCACAAGGGTAAAATTTCCATAACTATAAATAATAAACAGGACTGGCAGATGGATGAGGAAGCTTCAGTCCTGGAAGATCCCAGGGCAATGTACGTTCTACATGAGGGGAAACCTTCTGCAATGCGGCCAAGCCCTGCTCAGTGAGGGTGAAATGCAGTAACCAGAGTGGCTGCAAGTGATTTATCAGCAAGGAAAGCCAAGACCCTCTCTGGTGACAACTCCAGCTACAGGCTGAGGCTGAAATAAAGAGCTTAAAAGCGGGACAATACACGTTATGATGAACTCCTTTTCCTTGCCATGGCAAGTAGGAGCACCTAGCAGGTTGCTTTTGACCCAGAAACTCAAGCAAGAGGTCACAAACCCTGCCTGAAACAGAATTTGGAAGGCAAATTGTCAAAGGTACAAGCTGAAGTCAGTCATTCCCTTCGCACCACTCTCTGAAGTCTTCTGCATGAGGGATCAACCTCAGATGCAGCAAATATCACTGTGTGGTGCCAACGCTTCCTCCAGGCTGCAAGTCTGATACTCATCTCCTTAAGAAACAAACCTTACTTTTGCACCAAGATGTAAAGTAGGTATGAGAGTAATGCAGGTTGCAAGAGACCTTAGGAGGTCTCTAGTCCAACCTCCTATGTTCAAAAGCTGGGGCAGCTATGGGGGCAGACCCATGGCTCAGGGCTTTATCCAGTCAAGGGCTGAAAACCTCCAAAGATGGAGGTTGCACAACCTCTCCAGGCAGCCTGCTCTACTGATAGACTGTCCTCATGATGGCCAGGGGGGGAAAATTCCTTATCTCCAGTCTGAACCTCTCATGTCAATTTGTGGCCACAGACTCCTGTCCTCCCACCAGACACCTGCTGTGAAGAGCATGGCTTCATCCTCTTGGTAGCTCCTCTAAGTGCCAGAAGGCTGCTATTAGGTCCCGTCTCTTCTCCAGGCTAAACACCTTATTTTAGCAAAAATGCAACGTTCTTGTGAGCTGAAAAATGTTCTGGTTTAGGAAGAGAAAGAGGTCTGTGTTTTTTCACTGAACAACGAGCACACCACCGAGTGTTCTGCATGCTACAAGACTTCAACGCTAACCCAGAGTGGTGCCACTGATGTTTCATTTCAGTAACGCCTCCTGGCATTGTGTATTTTTCAGCACAAATGCCTCGGAAATGCAGATTCCTTTACAGCCTTCCCAGTGTTCTCCAGACCTGAGTTTTACATATAAGCAAACAGACTTTATTCGAGCCATGCTAAGGATACAGATTCCTCAAGCTGGTGGCAGTAAGAGCAACATTGACCAAGATTCCCAGATCACAATTTCAATCAAGTAATCCATGACGGGTGAGGAGGGAGAATAACCACTTGCAGAAGAACCTCCAGTACAAGACACCTGAACCAGTGCTTTCTGGCTTGTAGATGGGGATGCAACACCACCACCCCAACCCAAAGCACCCTCCTGTCATTTCCAGCCCATGGTGACTCCTGCGATGCCGCTGACTGCAGACAGACACCTGCACGCTGCTCCTCCAGAACCATTCTTGTGTCTATTTTCATTTGCCCTTTGCTCCTAAAATCTTGAGCTTTGACAACTCTGACATTCATCAGATGAGGAGCGTTGCATCAGACCGAGTCATCGCTCAGACTGCGAGTAGACAACAAGCAGAATTATCCTCCTGGTGTTTGCTACCCATAACGTCTTAGAATTACAACCAAGTTAATTTAGATAATTACTGCACCTTGACAACCAGGGGCTTGCACATTTATAAGACAATTTTAACTGACCATCACATGAAAAACTGAATTGCGAAGTTAAAGGCAAACAAGTGAAGATGGGTGGGCTGAAGATAGAGCCAAGTAGGGACACGGAGTCTTGGAAATGCCCTTTGGAAAGGTGAAGCCATTTCACCATGAAGAGCATTTACCACACTTCCACTACAGAAAGTTAGAAAATAATTCTGTGCTTTATTTAAAGAAAGTAACCAAACAAAAAGTACAATCCTGAATTTCCTTTCAATCGACAACCTCTGCAATAGGCAACAAGAGATCAAGGCCCTGAGTATCTCCAGTACCTACAAAATGGTACATGAAATAGGTACAACAGACCACAGAAGCTGCCATCTCAGCAGACAGCCAACATAGCCCTCTCCAGAGCTGTTAACTAATCATCTAATCAATCAGTTAATATAAGCCAGTTCCTGAATCTCTTCTAACCATCAATACTGTTTGCTTTGCTGTCTGCAGAGGCAGAAGAGCCAAGCTGGGGAAGCTTTCTAGTGCATACCTTGCCACCAGCGTATCACAACCACAGGTGAGCCTCATTACGGATGCTGCGCCCTCCTTTACAGGGTGCTGTTGGAGCCCACGTCTGCACTCCAAGGTGGCACCATGCTCTCCGGTAGCACTCAGCTGGAGGGCAATGCCTCCCTGCTTGCAGGTCACAATTATAACTCTGCTTTCTTAAATATCACCACCTGCAGTTTATGCCAGGGCCTTTAGAAGACATCACCACAAGGTATAGGAGGTCCCTGCATACTAATGGCCAAGCATTTTTGGAGCTACAGGGAACAAAATCGGGCACAAATACATTATCTAAGAGGTCAAACAAGGCTAACAGCTATTCGCTCGCAACATTCACAGCTTGCGATAACACTTCTGAACTACAGAGGAAGATCAAGACTGGCTTTTTGCTTCAGCTGTTCACTTACCTGAAAACCAGCCTGAAGTGGATACAAGTCACGTCTTTATTTTGTCACATTTATTTTGGAAGCAGCAAGACATTTTTGTTCATTTTACAAGCCATTTTTCAAGCACACCACTTGTCTCCGCTTTTTTATTTCTTCCTCTGCTACTTTTCACTGTTTAGTACTATAACCATTTAAATCAAAGCAATTCTAAGATGAAATTGTACGAAGACCCTATTATTGCAAAGCAAGGATGCTCAGTGTTAGCAGAGTATGTCTATAAACTACTAGGACACGCATCAGTCTTCATTTCAGGGGCACAAAAACCACATCATGAAACCCAAGAGAAGTGAATCCAGCAAACTACAGGGTTACGGGAACAGAATCACAAGAGGGGCAATCTCTTGAGCAAGAGGAAAAGTCCAAAGCGCACACTGTTGCTATTAATACTCAACACATTTGCTCGTCTGAAAGCCTGCTTACTTAAAGGGGAGCTTCTCGTCGTTTGGCTTGATGCAACGCACGTAGTGTGGAGTGGTGGCATCCAGAGTCTCCATGAGCAAATGCAGCGAGTTGCGGAACTGAAAGACAAAACCACTCGTTTTGAGGAGGGATGAAGGTGCTGTACCATGCGCTCGAGTTGGCGGGTGCTGCAAGAAGCCACCTGGGGTGCCAGCTTCTGGATGTGACATAGCGTGACCCTCCCCATCAGCCCAGCACATGCAGGAGCAATTCAGAGAAGACACTGGTGATGTACAACAGCAGTAAGTGTTTTCTCAGGGCTTTACCCAGTTGGGTCTTGAAAGCCTCCAAAGGTGGAGAAAGCACAATGCCTCTGGGGCCCTGTTGCACTCCCTGACTGTCTACACAGGGGAAAAATGCTCTTTTTTCTCAAGTTGCTTCAATTTATGAGCATCATGGTACATCGGGATATAGTCCAGTGAATCCCAGAGTGGCCTCCACCCTTCTTAGTCCATATCTCAACTCCTTCTAGTCAAGACTACTTGAGCCTGCTCTTCCAGAGACACTGCTAGAAGGTGTCCAAAAGCAAAAGCCAAACTGTTCCCAACCTCAACACGGGTCACAGGAAGGTCCCCTTGCTTCTGCCCCAATAGCTTTTCATTTATCTCTGCTTCAAACTGAAGAAACAAGATCTGCACTGTAAAAACCTATCTGGATTCACCTGCCCCATTTCCCTGCTGTCGACCGACGCGCTCGTGTCATACATTACCTGGTGCCCCACTGTTTTCTTGTGTTCCTTATTGGCAGCTTTGATTACTGGTCTGGCAGAACGGACGCTGATCTTGGATGTTCCCTTTGCCATGGAAGTGGCGGGTGCAGCATCCTTCTCATCTTGAAATAAGTCTGCTACCATTTGATACTAAAATGAAAGGCAACATCTGAGCACTCTGGCCCTACTCTTCGCTGAATGAACCCACCCAAGCCACATTGCTTCAGTCATTTTTCACCATCTTAAAGCAGGAAGGGTAAAAAGGGCAATAAAGTGAAATCAAGTGTTGCCTACATAAACCATGTCAGCAGGACCATTGGCCATTCTGTTCTGCAGTTCATCAAACCTTGAAATGCGCACATTAAATCAAACAAACAAACAAAAAAAAAGAGGATGGCTAGCTGAAAGGCTGCATCACTGACATGTTGTCCAAGGCACAAAACCTCCTGAATGCGAAGTGGCTCTTGCTCCCAGGCTTTATTTCGAGCTACTCATTCAGTCCTGATGGCAGCAAGGATGCTGCCCACACAACATATCCCCCAGGAATGGGGTTTCCATGTGAGGACATGCAGCAGCCCACTCTACCACAGCCCCAGAGGCACCCCTGTTTTTCTGAACAATTAAGAGACACCAGCACTTCCTCACTAATTACCTGCGTTTCAGCGTGAACGAGCAAGGCGACAGCAGGACTGCCATTCCGCAGCCCTGAAAGCACCACATTTAGCTCCTCAGAAGTCTGGGGTTTCTGGCAAACCAGCAGCAACATTTCCGCTTCATAAATGGGAGAACAGGTGAGCTGGCAAATGCAGTTAATGCTATTTTTTTCTTATGGGGCAGGATCTTCAAATTTGCATTAGGCTGGGGAACATTAGTAGTAAGTCAGTCACAATAAATCTGGTCTGTTTAGCAGAGCTGTTAAATTTTCACATCTCGAACCCAGCTATGCACCCAGACTGGTTTCTGCTACAGCCGTGCTTATATTCAAACAGTAAATTCTCAAATACAAGAAAAAAACCCCACTGTCACCAGGCAGGATTTCACTTATCACCAAGCTGAGCTGGGCTCCAGCCTGGTGACACTGCCAAAGCACCACCAGCAACACCCGCTCTGGAGCATCCACAGGAGAGAGCACCAGCATCACTCTTGCCTTGTCCATGGCATGCTGTGCCCAACACATCCACGCAAAAACACCAACATGAGGCAGTGGTGCACTGCACGATGCTCTTCCCTCCATCCCAGGCTCCTCTGAAAGCCAACCTTGGGTGTATTTCCGATAAGATCTCAAGAAGAATCCAGGGGTTTACTAGATGACCTCTAGGGGTCCCTTCCAACCCAAAACATTCTATGATTCTATGATTAACAGACAGCCCCACACCATAAAGGGCTGCCTGGCTCTCTGCCACGTCCCCGGACTGAGACAGGAATATTTCCAGCCCCGGTCCCGCAGGCTGTTTGCAGCTTGCTAGCACAGCAGCCTCAGTACCACTCTGGAAAGAAAACTGTTTGCATTACATTAGCAAATTGCTTGTAGGCTCCAAGGCAATGCCTGCTAAGGATCTGCTTCATAGAATCATAGAATGTTTTGGGTAGGAAGGGACCCCCAGAGGTCACCCAGCCCAACCCCCCTGCAAAGCCATCCCCCCTTGTCCTGTCCCAGCTAGCCCTACTAAAAAGCTTGTCCCCCCCTTTCCTCTGGGCCCCCTTGAAGCCCTGACCGGCCGCACTCAGCTCTGCCCGCAGCCTTCTCTTCTCCAGGCTGAACACCCCCAACTCTCCCAGCCTGGCCTCAGAGCAGAGGGGCTCCAGCCCTCGCAGCATTTTAGTAGCCCTCCTCTGGCCCCGCTCCAACAGGTCCATGTCCTCCTTGTGCTGAGGGCTCCAGAGCTGGACACAGTACTCTAGGTGAGGTCTCACCAGAGCAGAGCTTTTCTTAGAATCACAGAATCCTTCAGTTTGGAAAAGACCTTGAAGATCATCGAGTCCAACCGTTAACCTAGCACTGCCATTCCACCACTAAACCCTGGCCCTAAGCACCATGTCTGCCCGGCTTTTAAATATCCCCAGGGATGGGGACTCGACCCCTTCCCTGGGCAGCCTGTCCAGTTCACTCAACCCCTAGCAGAATAAAGGCTCGCACCTTCTTTGCCTAACCCTCTATCCCCCAAAAAAGACATCCCGACAGAGGTTGTACTTTGATGACACATCACTGTCTTGGGTGCTGTGCCTCCTGCAAAGACGGGGCGTTTGGGTGGTAGGTGCTTGATGCTGGAAGGCATCCAACGCAGGCTTCACTTTACCATCTCTGACAATGCGATGAAACCCCCGGCTGTCATTTCAGCTTTCAAAGTATCTTCTCAGCGCATAGCTGGGAGTGTCATCAGGCCCTCCATCCGCTGGCTATTAATAATGAGAGTGCTTACTCCTACACAAACACTCGACAAGAACCTCAGAGGTGAGTTTTCACCTTGCTTAAACCAAAACTGATTTAACTGGGACCACCTGTGGCAGCCCAGGATCTATTCCACAGATGCTGGGGAATAAGTGACAAGGACAGATCCCTCCTTCCCAACTGGCAGAGTCAAAACCATTGGTGCATTATTTGTAATTATAGAGGACTGGAATATAATATCTAACCAGCATGCCCATATGCTTTCAATCAGTATTCAAATCAGCTTCCTTAATCCAAAGAACATCAACTCTCAACTGTTTTAGCTGACCAGCGCTAACAACACTAATTAGCTGCTTTATAAAAAGTTTCTTTCACCATCCTGTTGACAGCAGTAATTGCATTCTAATTAGCAGAACGCAGTTATGCCTTGGTGGGAGCGCTTCATCAGCGATGCACTTGAGGACGGAGAGGTGTTTAAGTCCTTGCTGTGTTAAATTGACAGCGTTCCCCCTTGCCTTGTGTATCGCCTTAGTGGGAATACAAAGAGGAAATGCAGCAAGTACTGCAATACAGGGCTGATCCTGTGTACAGGATAAAGTCCTCACGGCACGGCCTTTTGCAGTACAAATCTAAATTTTAGCACATTGGAGTGGCAGACTCAGCGTTGCTGCTGCTGCTCTTTTTGGTTCAGAGAAACCAGGTTGCTTCCTACAGCAAAAGAAAAAAAAAAATTATTTGTTTATACCCATGGAGGGCATATGGCAGACGAGAGGCAAAAAAAATAAAAAAATTAAAAAAAAAAAATCAGGATAACTGAATCTGCTGGCCAACAGGGTTAGGGAAAGCAGGAGCAGAAGATCAGGTTTTGGAGGCTTTGCAGGAAGATGATGAGGATGTTCCTGCCAAGGGAAGCACTGCTCTTCCTCCCAGGACAGCACAGCGTCAGCATGGGCTGATGACAGTCACTGCTCCCACATCATTAAAGAAATGGCTCAAAGGCTGAAGTTCATCAAACTGTCACCCAAAGATTCTCAGAGCCAAGTGCATTTGAGGGCGTTTTAAGCTGGATCACAAACGCAGGTTTTGGTATCACCTACAGAGTCACCACCACAAATTCATAAGGTCCTAACGCCCGGTCCCAAGGAGCATTAGCTTAGTTTGCAGGTCCAGGGAAGCCCAACTCTTTGGTCCTGAGGCATACATATTAATGGCTTAAGAAGCTCCATGTTTTAAGGCCAAGCAAACCAGTTGCAAGGAGCAGGGTTTGGGGTTTTTTTGCTGTTAAACCAAAGCCCAGCCCTCTCTGATATAAATTATGGTCCTTATATATGAGAGAAAGAAGAGGAGGTGGTGCTGTTAGTAAACTCATTTCTACATTTTTTTAATTTCTTTTTTTAAGAAATGAGTTGCAGGTGGCACCGTCCTTCCCCACTCTACACCACCCCACCCCAGTGAGTTACAGCTCTCCTCCCCACCTACTCCGCAGTGGCTATGGGGAGAAGTCAAACAGAAATCCCTACCAGACACCACCAGCTCTGCAGCACGACCTCCAACAGCAAGATCAGCACTGGCTAAATAATTCATCATACAGCATCAATTATTCCTGCAGGTTACCTGGCATTTCTAATAAGTTCTAATCCTGCCCAGTTTTTACCCTGGGCAAGCTGTGAGCTTCCCAAATACAGAGAGATCTTGATTTGGGCATTATTAAAGCCCAGCTTCACAGTTATTAGACTCACAACTACCCTCATGGATGAGAAAATTGCACATCTTGCCATCTTCACGTGAATTTATTGCTTAGACAGAGGGCAAGCCACTGACAACACTCAATTAATTTCCCATTCTCATCTCCCTTACTTTGGCAAGAACCAACTCCTGCTTAAAATGCTCCTAAAAATAATACTTCCTCCCTTGCCCCTCACCACACTCCTTATTTAGGGTGGCATTTGGAAGGTCATACCCAGCCATAAAAACCAAGGGAGGGTGGCACAAAGAGGAGAAATCTGGATATGTGACACATCTGCTTGCAATATCCTAAGGGGGTTCAAAATTTGTAATGCAAGAAAACAAAGGCAAGTTATCAAGCTGGTCCATGCTGGGGGAGGCTTTGAAATGGTTTAGAGAAAAGCAGATATATTGCTTCCCTACCCCACAAAGTCTGGTGGCAGCCCCAGAGTCATGCAGTCTCAATTTTGGCTGCTGGATGGCGTGTTGGAATTTGCAGGGCTGGATTTTCACACTAACTTCTAGCTGCCCCTGGAAGGGTTAAGGTAGTTTAAAGTCTCAGCTCATTAATTGACAATGAAAGACTAAAGGTTGCAGGGAGGAACTTTTGGTCTGGTTATAAAAAACAAGGACTTGAAATTCCTAAGATGTCTGTGGTATTGACACTCTTAACCCAACCCACCCAAGCGCAAAGGCATGGTCATGGAGAAGAGTGGGGTGTTGGAAGTCAGCGCAAAATCTGTTAGGTTCATGCATGTAACTGTAAAGTCTCCAACTCAAAGCCCACTTGCCAAGTCCTCATTTACTTCGACTCACGCCGACGCCTGCAGAGCCCCACAGCTACTGCTTTTCTGCTTCCAACAGCCCAGCAAGCTCACAGCCTTCAGGACTAGCGGAGACTTTAAACCACGGGTACCAAAAAGCTCTCTACAAGGAGACTTGGTATTCAAGGTCAGTCAACACATCTCTGTTGGCACTCATGCAATGACGCGCCGACAAGTTGTTTTTACAATACTCAGGAGAGGAAAGGTACATGACACAAATCTTGTAATACAGGAGCAAGAGCAAGCATGATCAACAATATTTGTTAATATTACCTATTGGCAGCAGTGTAAAATAGCTCTGGCAGCAGCTGGAACATCTCAGAGTTTGTGTTAGATTTCCAGCATTGTATATTAAATAATTAGTATGCAAAAAATAGGGTTAAGTATTTAAAAATTGTGGGGCCAAGTATGATGGACTGCCGCTAAGGAGAACAGCCAATTTCATAAAGAAGGGTTGTAGGGTCAGCAACGCTACCCACAATATACAAACCACACTGCTGACCATGGCTTTTAGTCCCAGGCTCACCTGTGGATTCACATGCTTTTGAGGACCTTCAGTGCCAGGTGGTGGGTGGGGAGCTCCGAGCAAGAGCTAAGTGGGATTTACACCGCCCCATAAACTGTCTGCTCCTGATTTATGCTCTTGGTGACCAAAAAAAAGAAGAGGATCAACAGGTTTGGAAAGGATTTTTCTGATGCACCTCAACGGGACACTGACACCAGAGTGGAGGTGAGTAGAGGACCATGCACACCTACACCTGGGTGCAACCGTAGCACCCAGCAGCCTCATCCCTCCCCTCCCCACTTATTCCTTCCTCCACACCCCATTTATTTCCCTTTTTTTGCTGCTGTTCACGTAGCTGTCCCCACTGTTGCACACACAACCTGCTGCGGCATGGCACCGGAACACAAGCATGAAGTTCACACTTCAGAAAGCGGTGGTGCTGACTATCTCCTGACTCGCTGCTTTTACCTTGCTGGCTTTCAGGATATTGATCTGTTCCTCGTACACGGTGTCCCGGTTCTTCTCCAGAAAACCCTCACTCTGGTACTCCACCTAGGAGAAGACAAGGGAAGAAGCCCAGAGGGTAAAGTCTGACCGCACAGGGACAAGGTGCTGTGTGTCACCGTGCCCCTAACTGTTGGGACTCACCTTAAAAACCTGAGAGGGAGAAGTGGGGGGAACAACTGGAATTTAAAGGTCACTTTCTATCAAAGAAAGTGAATCTGAATGAAAGCAAAATCCTGAACGCAAACACAAATTGTTTCTTCATCATTAAACTGCCCTGTATGGGACCCAACCGTACTGCCATGGAAACCAGGGGTAAAAATGCAAGCATCGCCAGTCTCTCTACATGCTCTTTTGTTCACTCCTGAACTCCTTGTAAGCTAATCAATAAACTTCAAAAGATCTCCTGACTACGCCTCCTGTAGGTCTCTTGTTGCAGAAAGTCAAGGTGCAAAGGAAGGCTTTTGAGGGGACAGATGCAAATTTGATTTTTTACATCTGAAGTTGGCTGAAATAACTGATCACAAAAGGCAAAGCTTGTAAAGAAATATAATTTGTGAGGGATACATGTGCAAAATCATGAGCCTAAGGAAAGTTGAGTATCAACTTTTGCCATGGAAAGTGCTGCTTGCATCCAGGGCAAACCTGGTCAGGAGAAGCGCCTGTACGGGATCGCAGCCCCTGCATGTCATCTGGTTCCTCGGACACGGAGCCCATGGACAAGACCCTACAGCACCAGACACTGGGATTTAGGACCCACAGCTGGCATCATCTCCCTCAAAAGTGTGGGATCAGCCCAGGGTCACCTCTTGCATGCTCCTCCCCACTGCGTTGATGCTCACAGCTCCTGCTCTTCAAAAATAATTCCCTTTTCCAATATATTTTCAGTAAAGCTGCCCTTACAGAAATTCATTTCACTGCAGCTTTGAGAAAGAGGATTTTTCTCTACTCTAGAAAGCACAATTATTTAAAGCTTAGCGCAATAGTTTGGAGGCCAAAGTCCTCCAAGCTGATCTAGATCTGAGAGCCCAAACGAGATTACTGCCAACGAGGCATCCCTCTCACCAAAAACCAGCTCGCTGGTGCTATAAACTAATTTTCCTTTGGGCAGCTCTTCCTTCCCTCCATGCATTTCCCATTTCTGCGTTCAAGTCCCAGCACATGCAACGGGAGCCTGGTTACCTTATCGGCAAAATGCAGGACAATGAAGGAGGTGTTGGACATGCGGGGCTTCTGGAAGTGCTGGCTGCTGGCGTGCCGGTCATACAGCTTCTGCGCCCAGTTCTGGTCGGTGCCTTTGGGAACCTGAACAGGGAGACAGTAGACCAAAAAGTTGTGGTCAGGCATGCAAAGGAGGTGCAGGGAGGTTTTGGAGGAGCCCTCCTTGTGGGCTTCCTGTAGCCCACATAGGCTACAGGGATATTTGAGAAACAGAGTCCACCCCCCCAGTTCTATGAGCATGTCCTATTTCATTTTCGTGTATAGTCTTGAGAAACCCAAAAAAATTTCATTTCTAGTGAAAAACACTCAAATGCTGGTTCTGCTCCAACAGCCAGAACAGCTCGTGCAGGAAAAAAAAAATAATTATAGAAGTATTTTTGCATTTAAGTTACATCAATTGCTCAGGCACCAACATTAATTTTTTTAATGCAATTTTTGGTGACCAAATAGTTTCACAGACTGCCACCTGAGACATCAAGAAGTTCTACTTAATTTAAAATAACAATGATAATAAAATAATTTTAAAACATTAAAATGATAATAAAATGATAATTCTTAAGAAACCTCTGCCTCACAGCAGGCTTAGGGTGCGGTCACCTGGATCCCAAACACAAGGTGCATTAACCCCAGTTGCACACAGGGTTGGGACTGCAGACCCACATATCTGCCCTACTGCAGTCGAATGATTCCCGTGTCCCTCTCCCACACATCCAAGCCCCTGTGCCATGAAACTCCTGGATGCCAGACACTCCTTCTGCATCCTATTTCCACCAAATTCAGGGTGCAATGGACCTGGCCCTTGAAATTATTTGGCCACAGTACACTAAGATATTAAGTGTTGCCTAAGACACTGCTTTGGTAGCATGGGGCAGAGAATGGAAAAACCCTAAACAATTGCAATGACTAAAAAATAATAATAATAAAAAAATCCCTCACAGCACTACCGGTGCAGCAAGGGAGTGGGCTACTTTGCACAAATCAACAGTTACAAGGAAGGGTTGAGCTGCCCTTCCTACCCAGCACCTGCAATTCTTACCCACTAAATCATTGTAAACTTAATGAGATATATTGCCTAGATCAGGGGGAAAAAAAAATATTGAGTTTTATTATTTTGTAAGCACATATAGCTGTATGGCAGCAATCGACAATATCCTGTCACTTCTGATACTCTCATGATTACAATTCCCGTAACGACTCAATTTTTTAGGGTATGTTTAGGTCCCTTCTCTGCTAACTGGCCAAAACCTCCAAAGCTTTGCAAAAAAACATAAGGGCGTACGAGGAAAGCAGGATGGCTGTAAATATTTTTTATTTTATACTTTTCCAGCGCAATAAGTTTGCCACAAAGCAAAATTTTTGAAAACCAAAAGGAAACAAGGCCTGAAGTTGTTACACACCTCCAGGGCTGGGGACCACAGCTGATGGGGTTTGTCCCCATCGCCCCCTGTCTGCCTGGCAGGGATGAGAAAGGTGTGGGCTGGGGGACCCTCTATTGCTGCCAGCAGGACAGCAATGGTTGCACATACATACACATACATAACCCTAACAAAAAATGGCTGACCGGATTATTTAGTTTATTAAAAAAAAAAAAAAAAAAAAAAGAAGAGTCAGACAAAAAGCATTAGGTGATATTAAAATTAGATGGGGCAAAGCCTAGGAACATTAAACAATTATATATCATAGAATCCCAGAATCCCAGGTTGGAAGGGACCTCAAGGATCATCTGGTCCAACCTTTCTAGGCAAGAGCACAGTCTAGACAAGATGGCCCAGCACCCTGTCCAGCTGAGGCTGGAAAGTGTCCAGTGTGGGGGAGTCTACCACTCCCCTGGGGAGATGATTCCAATGGTTGACTGTTCTCATGGTGAAACATTGTCCTCTTGTATCCAGTCAGAATCTTCTCAAGATTAACTTGTACCCATTCCCCCTTGTCCTCTCCATGTGACTCCTTGTAAAAAGGGAGTCTCCATCTTCTTTGTAGCCTCCCTTTAAATACTGGTACACGGTGACGAGATCCCCTCTGAGCCTCCTTTTCTCCAGGCTGAACAAACCCAGCTCCCTCACCCCATCCCCATAGGGCAGGCTTCCCAGTCCTTGGGTCATCTTGGTGCCCCAGCACCCTGTTGACCTTCTTGGCCGCAGCAGCACACTGCTCACTCCTATCCACCAGGACCCCCAGGTCCAGTCCCACAGAGCTGCTCTCCAGCCGGGTGGATCCCAGCCTGTGCTGCACTCCTGGATTGTGTTTTCCGAGGTGCAAGACCTTACGCTTGTCTGTGTTGAGCTTCTTAAGGTTCTTGTTAGCCCACTCTTCCAGCCTATCCAGATCTTCCTGCAGGGTGGCTCTCCCTTCCAGAGCATCTACTTCCCCACTCAATTTGGTGTCGTCTGCAAACTTCATCAGGCTACACTTGATCCCATCATCCAGATCACTCTTGAAGATATTGAATAATGTTGGGCCCAATATCCTTGGGGGACCCCACTTGTGACGGGATGTCAGTTAGAAAAAGAGCTATTTACCACCACCCTTTGGGTGCAGCCCGTCAGCCAATTCCTCACCCACCACGCAGACCACTTGTCTAGGCCATAACGCATTAATTTCTCCAGTGTAGCAACAGGGAAAGCTCTGGATCTTCCATCAGGTCTTCACACAGATCTTTACATGAAAGGTGACAGACGAAATAGGAGCAGCAAACACTAAGAAGGAAAACTTGAGACAGTTGATGAAAATTTCTTTATGCTGCTCCAAAACAGCCTTTGATTTCACAGCAGCAAGCCAGAACACGACAGAAGTTTTCTGGACATGGGGATGAGCTGCTCCTGCCCACTCCCGTTAACTGGAAGAAGTAGCTGAATTAAATGCAGCAGCCACTCATGCAAGCCATGCTATCCCTGAAGTATTTTATATTTTACTGTTATAAGCTGTCCTGGTTTTGGCTAATTATGGATACACATATATAGATTTTAGATAAATATTAAAAGGCATTTATTTATGCAATTATATACATATTTTATTTATGCAAGATAGACATGCATATTTAACCTACGGAGTTATACACATGCAGATGGGTTTCTTTTTCTATCTATAAATACGAAATATAACCAATAAAAACACTCTGGTGTGATCGTTAGGTCTCTCTGGTTCAGGACCGAGCCGTGGGTGCAGAGCAGAAGCGCCTGAGCCGCCTGATGCTGCAGAGAGAGGAGATTTATCCTGCACCAGCTCTCTTTTAGGCCGTCCACTTTGCTGAAAAACCTGCTTATCTCAGAGTTGAACTTCAAAGGCATCGCTCCCACCTCCCAGAAAGAGGGTTTCGCCGTACCCACACCACTCCCTGCTCATCGTTGTGCAGCCTGGGTATTTTTAGCTGCCTGAGAAGCACCTGATAGGGACCAACTCCTGGAGATAAAAACTAACAGGGCCGTTATCTATGCTATTATAACAGCTTTTTGTATTGGCTTGGCAGTTTAAGGCCTTTAGAGCCAGTGAGAAAGTTATTTAGAGACTGTCTCATCAGTGCAAGACTTTTCTAGGGGATAGCGAAGAGGGAAGTCAACTGCCTTGCAAATATTGCATGGAAATCTCTAAACAGGAAAAACCTTAGACCAGTAATTTCACAAGGTCACTGCTTCTGCTTGTCTGTCCTCACTGTCCCTCTGCCCATCACACTGCATAAAATCAGCCGGGCAGCATAATCCTGGCAGGGTCACCTCCCATCTCCATACACTTGTCCTCTGAGCTGCCAGGAGCTCCTGCAACTGAAATCAAAGCTAAAGGGTGAGATTCCCTCCACCATCACTTCCAACAGAAGGACAATTAAGTGGATAAGCAATGAAGGTCCATTCAAACCTAACGATCTAAAAGTCAACCCTCTGAAAACACAGTAGGACCTATTTAAATTTTTATTCCTTTTCTCCTCATCACTCCAATGTAAGTTAAAGCCTGAAAAGAGCCTGGGCTTCGTCCACACTCCAGAGACACGTTTCACTGCAAGTGATGTGCCTGACTTTAAAGTCATAAAAGTTGACAGCATGACGTAGGCAAGGTTATTCTGCCGTCGGATTAAGCTGTCTGCCTGAAAGGAAAGCCCAGAGGTCCAACCTCCACGTATCTCCAAGCGCAGCAGAAATCCCCCCAAAACAGGACCAGGCGGCATAGGAAGGTGACATACTGATTTCTGATTTTCAAAAAAGCTAACAAATCCAGACAAGGAAAACACATTTGCTTAGATATCCAAGTTCACAGAGAGGCACAGAGACAAGTGGGATCAAAAACCAGCCCGCTAGAAGCAGACTTGAGTGCTTCTGGCACTTGACAGAAGGACACAGGAAAGGTTAAGAAGCATCTTTTGAACAGCATTAGAAAATGCATTGGGCACATTTAACAGCGTAACACGATGGCAATGTGCCATAAAACACAAACCAGATCAGCAAGAGAGTTTGAGAGCACGAGGGAGCTCGTGGGTTTGGTTAGACACATCCCCCTTTGGCAGCCTTGGGGTCACATTGAAAAAATTTCACTAAGATCCATCATAAATCTGGGACAATAATATTGTGACTGACACATCAACCCTTCCAACCAGCCCATTCTTGATCAAACCCTTTTAGGTGCACTTCACGCTAACTGAAATTTTTGTTTTTCATTAATTCTTCCATTCTCACTCCCATCCCAACAGCACAGGCAAAAGCAAGAAAGCAGCCAGGCAGTAGGACACCTTACAGAGAAACCTGGATACAAATATCTCAAGGGTGGATGTCACGAGGACAGAGCCAGACTCTTCTCAGTGGTGCCCAGACCCAGGACAAGGGGCAACGGGCACAAACTGAAACATAAGAGGTTTCAGTTGAATATGAGGAAGAACTTCTTGACTTTGAGGGTGACGGAGCCCTGGCACAGGCTGCCCAGGGGGGCTGTGGAGTCTCCTTCTCTGGAGATATTCAAAGGCCACCTGGATGAAGTCCTGTGCAACATGCTCTAGGAGAACCTGCTTTAGCAGGGGGGTTGGACTGGGTGATCTCCCGAGGTCCCTTCCAACCCTTGCCATTCTGTGATTCTGAGATATCCACAGCAACTTCAGACCGTACTCTCAAATGACACCTGGGAAGATATGAAGCACTCACACAGAGCAAGCAGTTTCAGCCTGAAAAATCAGGACACCTCATCCAACTTTGATAAAGAGACGTGACTGCATTTCTTAGAGAATTTTCAGTTTCCTCTGAGGATAATTTAAGTCCCTTGAAAAAAATCAACCCCAAATGCCTGCTCCTCTCCAGAGCACTGAAGTTGCTCTTCACGTGTTCCCTCCAACTGCAAAGCCTTCAAAGTCTTCTTAGGAAGTCTGCTGTCCCCTCTGCCAAATTCATTCCCTCTACAGCAAGGCCAACCATATCCTAAAGCAATCCCAGACATCCAAACAAGTCTTCCACACGCCCTCCCAACTTCCCATGGATTTTCAGAAAACAGCCTCCCTCTCCTTAACGCCCGTCTCTTCTGATGGGCTGTACGTTGGTCTCCTTGCTCTCCTCAAGGGCTCTGCTGTTATCCCAGATTGTTTCCCACCACCGCTGTTGGCCTTATGGTGACTCCCTCCACATTTCATAGCTCACCTGCAGGGAGGTTCTCCTGGATGCCCTCCTCCCCTCTCCCTCCTCTTCAGTTTGTGCTGCAGCACTTCAATGTTGCTCCTGTCACAGTGGCCTTGGTTTCTGGCCAAGGCCATTTCTGTGCATGGGACATGAACTACTGCTGTTTCTCTGGTGTCTTTTTAGGTCAAAGCCAAATAAAGAGGTCCTAAAAGCTCCAGATCCAGGCAGGTAACACTCCAGTGCAAGAAATGGGGAAAAGGCTCTTTGAGGACTCCAAGGTCACAGACCTATGGAGATTATAAGGCTTCCTGGGCAGATCAGGGATGTAACCGGAGGTTGGACCAAATGACCTCTAGAAGCGCCCCCCAACCTTAATAATTCTACAAAAGCTTCCAACTCCTAAGACCTCAAAGCTATTTACAAAGCCCCAAAACCAAACATATCCTGACGCCGTCTTTTTTCAGAGCTAGGGGTTTTATCATTTGCTTTCATGAGACAGGTTTAGTCTTTAAAACTCCAATCTCAAGTCGAGAGCCCTCTCTTTCATTGCTGATTCCCATTTCAACCCTGTCCGGTCCCCTTCTTCTCTAAATGGTGACAAGACTCTCATTACGCACTGAAGGTCTATGACCTTCGTTAGCTGAACTGCTTCAGCATGTACCCAACCACCCTCTCCCCAACCTCACATTAAAGATTAAAAAAAAAAATCCATTCTGTGAAGCGAGAACATTAGCGACAAACCCTCCCCATTTGCGCTGATGTTTCATTGTGTTGCCAGGACCCCCCTCGATGTCATTTCAAGTCCCGAAGTATATTTATCCACCGTTGTATGTGCTAACGAGATGACTTGCAATTTATCCTATTGTGGTCCCACGCCCACCGTGGCCGGCTCTCCCCGAGAGGTGAAACACTGCGGCTGGTGATGCGGGGGTGAAAGTTTTCATCCATAAACCAGCACTTTCAATTGACAGGCTCTGCTGAAATTTTCATAAAGCTGGAGAACGCTTGCAGGTTGTTATAAAAGAGCTGATTAGGGGGCCCATAATAAGGGCCAGTGACTAATGACAGCATTCCCCACTGACAGGTAAATATCCAGATAATTGGTATTTGATGTGCGGGGGAATAGATCTTGTGTTTCATTTTTTTGGTCCAAAAAAGCATGGATGAAAAAAGTAGTACCAGGCAGATCTAGAGCAAAGTTGGCCATATTCCCACTGTTGCATAGGCATTGCTCCATCTAATGCAATGTCACCAGCAGCAACCAGTGCCAGGTGCTTCGGAGAGGAGCAAAAGGTGTTATCAGCCAATATGGCATGAGGGAAACTTTCCTTCTGGTCTTCACAACACCCAGGAGCCAGCTAGAGCCTGGAGAATTTAACAGGCTTAATAGCGCAGAGACCAAATGAAATGGTGCTGAATATCAAGCAAATAATCTGACCTCCTTCTGAGCCAGCACGGGCTAAGATGCTATTTTAAGGGCATCAAATTAAGTTTAATTTGTTCTCATTTTTAAGGAGTCTTCCTGAGACTGGATTTGAAAAGCGCAAAGCCCCAACTCCGGCTCATCGCAAAGAGATAGCCGGAGAGCCTGTACCCCAGATAAAGGCCGAGCTCGTGGGACACACAGGTTGGGACAGCCTCGTCGTGCCTAGGAAGGCAGCCCTGTCGCATGGAGGAGAGCAGCCACCTGACAGGTCACCTCGCTTCCAGACAAGACATACATCTCCTTAAATCCCAACAGGGACACTAGTTGAAATAATGGATCCAAAACCTTTCCCTCTGATGCCCTCAGGCCACTGGATCTGTCCCATACCCACAGATCCCACAAAGCCAACAAGAATTTGTTGCATCCTTCTCATCACCTTGGCTATCCTGGTGAGGGGCCCCTTCCGTGCTTCAGCTCTCCCACCACCCATGCCTCACCCTTCCCTGCCCTCGTGCAAAAATCCTCAAAGCCCTTCCACAATCGGTAAGACATTTCCTGGCACAGAATACGTCCAAGTCTCGATGGAAACTCCTCCCAAAGACAACTTCACTCAAGTTTCTTTATCCTCAATATCACAATGTTTTACAGCCCTGATCTGACCACACTCTCTCCAGTATTTCTTCATCATCATTGACCCTTTTCATCACAGCATCACTCTGAGCATTCCTGTTAAGATGACTATACCTGAAGACTCTTGACTTCCCACATAGTTTTCACCACAAAGACCTTCAAAACATGCATCCCAACTTCCCAGGAAAGTCTTCCATCTTGCATTTCTTGTTCCTACATATATTTGATAATTCACAACTGAACAAGGAGTGCACAAGTAGTCCAACCTTTCTTATGGATTCTCATGGAGGGTGCCATTCTGGCTTTTCTACTCAACTTTTAAGCAAGATTTAACTTAGGCTGTTATGAGAAACAGATGATAAAGGATAGCAAATTACTTTCCCAACATTACAAGCTTGGTTTAAAAAAAAAAAAAAAAAGAACCAAAACCAAGCCAAACTAAACACCAGCCAACCACAAACCCAAGACTCAGAAAAGCTGAGGGAAGACAATTCCAAACCCCAACAGAAGAATGCTGAAGGAATGGCCAAACAAGAAGCCTACACAACTGAAGACACTTCTAAAGGTCATCCCTGGCTCCTGCTTCTCTATCCCAAAGAAGCAGACGGGCCATGCAATTTTGGTCTTCTGCAAAACTTGTGTGAAATCCAGGCCTGCCTCAAATTAGTCAGAGCTTGGCATCGACTTCAGCAAATCCTCGTTATGTGGCTGAAGACCCTTGACACTGCAAGGTTAACCAAACAGGAGACCCTCCCAGACACACATTTTTTTATGTGCCAAGCGCCACTGAAACACAGATTCCAGCATCTGAAGTCTGTACACTAAATGCAATCAACTTTACCCCAAATAGCTATCGCAACAGGACTTGGACAAAACAAAGCTTGAGACAGGGAGGAACTCCAGCTTCTGGATAACAACAAAGAAATCAAAAGTCGCAAGCAATGGCTATCCCTATGCAGAGCCAGGCAAGAAACACAGGCTTTGGCAACACATGGTGAGACCAGGTACCCAGGTTGGTAAGAGACATCTGCTAAGGAGGTTCTGAATAGTCCTAATGCAAAGCAAATGCCAACAGCCTACCATGAGCACCCCAGCAACGCATGTGAAAGGAGATGTTTACCCTCTTGCAAGCTACCACAGGTTAAAGCCCATTCTTCAACCTTTTATAAAAAGGTCAGTGAAAAGGGGGAGGTCCTCTTTACCTTGCATTCTTCATCCAGTAGGTCCAAGATACCAAGCTTTGCCTCTATAAGGTCTATGCAGGGCTGGTTATCATAGAAGTCTATGAGAGTCCAAGGGATTCCCTCCTTCATGTACTCTTCTTGTTCCAGCTTAAACACGTGCTGAGAGTGGAAGAACAGCAGAGTTACTGACCGTGATCCCAGCCAGAACAGTGCCAGCCCCCTCCCCATTCACCCACTCATTCCCACTGGAGTAGAGTATTCCCTCAGCAGATCCAGAAGCTGTACAAGCTTTAGGTGCCCTCATGTACAGTTTTGTCCAGGCTCTGCCATTTGTACAATCTAGCTTCTGGCAAGGAAAATAAAAGCTTTATACCAGGAAGCCATTGGGCAGGAAGGAGGGAAAAAAAAAAAAAAAAAAATGTCTGAAGCTGTCACTACATTAGTGGAAACTATATATTGAAATGGCAATGACATGCATATCTCTTGGGCTAGAAAAATCCCTCTCTCCTTTAGTGCTCTGCTGATTAAAGCAGTGACCTGCAGCAGGTTCACAAGCTTGGAGCCAAGCTGGGGCTGAGCACATGTGGCCCCATCTGTGAGCAGAGCTTCACAAAGAGCACCCATCATCCTAGAAGAGATATCAGCAACAGCATCTGACTGACTCAGGAACATTTCTATTGTAGATTCTTAATAAAAAAAAAAAAAAAAATATATCTTTGCATGGCTTATATATCTCAGACCTCTGCCCAAGCAGATAAATTGTCTCTGGCTATTTCTGAGATACTCTTAAGCATATTAAAAAATGATTTTTCAAATGCACTTTTTTCTTCAAAGATAGCTTTTTAAAATCTCCTCAAACATGTCATCTCAGAGTTTGAATTTATAAGCTTCAGAAGTGATAATCGGACATACTAAGTAAGATAGGAATAGTGCAAATACAATCCATAATTTACTTTTCATTTTTAGCAGCAGTGATCTGATGCATTAGATATACTGCAAATGTTCACGTCTGTGCATATGATAAGGTCTCAAAGTACCGAACTACTAAGCAGTACTTAGTTGCTCAAATTTAACAAGTTTTCCCTTATATCCTGAAACTAATAGTAATTTTTTTCTCTGCCTACAACAAAAGCAGAAGACAACCCCTCACTGCTTTCATTTCCAGTAAGTACTCAGTTCTAATAAAATAGAAGAACCTCAGGTTTTTGTGAGGCATGTCCAAGTGAAAAACGGGGAACATGTCCCATCCTGCTATTTAGTACAGAATTTTCATTGCAGAGGTTTAAGCTATACTTAATGGGCAGGTTTCCACCCATGCTTTGTCTCACATTGGAAATCAGGACTTGGCACAAGACCATCCAAGGCTGCACTTGAGGACTGAAACTACACCAAAAAAAAATTGGCAAACTTTCTCCTTATTCAAAACCATTAGTGAACTTTTGCATAAACCATTTGCAAACCTGCTTCCAGTGTCAAGCTTATCAATCAACCAAGCAACACTTTCAACTTGATATGAATATTATTAGTGCAATTGCAATGCACGATCATTGCCTGGGAGAGATGGTATCCCAAGGACTACATTCACGCTGGCCATGCAATCCGGCCAGGCTGCAGGTAAATGCCATTAAGCAGAAGCCAGACGTACAATAATCCCACCTTGATAGTTTTATGGAACATTTCCAAGCTGACCTTACCGAGTTGAACTGCTGCTGGAGCTTTTCGTTGGCATAGTTGATACAAAACTGTTCAAAGCTATTCACTTCAAAAGTTTCAAACCTGCAAAGCAATGAATAAATCAGCATTAAGCGTTGCTTCGTCTCAAAATCTACTTTTCTTTGCAATGGTGTCATCTGCGTAACGGGGAACACCAGTTATTCAACCGTCTCTTCGCATTCCTCCTATCTCAGATCTACGCTTTATTCCTCATTCCTCGAAACGTCTATCTTTCCTTGCCACAACTCAAGGGATTCAAGAGGTCCCTTCTGCTACGCACAAATGAGATATTCGGTACGACTGTAGCTTCCTGCCCATCAGCCAGTAGTGCTGTCTGAGACAGGCTGTCTGTAACAGCCTCTCTCAGACAAAAATATTATGAAATATTAAGTCCAAATATATTCACTGCAAAGGTGATGGAGAAAAGGTAGCTGCTGTCTTAAAAGACCCAACATGGTATTTTTAATGCGATTCAATAGAGCAGAAAAAGAAGGTATTAAATTCATAATTATAGCCTCTGTGTTGCATCCCTGATAGCACAAAAATTAGATACACGTGAGCAAGCAAGTTCACGGAAGCAGAGGGAGAAATGGTGCTTTCAGCTCCAATTCCAACACATTCCTTAGAGGGAGTTTGGTGTTGGTCTCTGTGATCCCCCTCTTCATCAGGGCTTCAAACGCTCCCCTTGGAGAAATATTATCCCACCCTTCCACTGGCCAACTCCAAACCAAGCTCAAAACTGGCTTCCTAGTCACAATTAGGAAAGAAAAAATATGCAGTTTTAATAACACAAACTACAGGCAAGCAGCAGAAAGCCAGCAGAACCCCCGGAGTGGTCGAGGCTGAAGCACGCAATATCTGGGGATAGGTAGAGGGAGCCAGGTTTGCTGTTAAAAAAAAAAAAAAGAGGCATTTTTCAGCTACCACAGGGAATCATGTTATTTATATTTCTATTTTTAAGGCACAGTTGGAGGAGGGAGGCAAAAAAAAAAAAAGTCTTTGACACATGACTGTAAGCATTAAACTAAAGGAAGAAGTGGCAAAGCTCCCTGTGCTTAATGATTAAGTTGCCATAATGATAAGTGCCCAGCAAAATAATTGCTTGGGTAATAGGTACAATAGGAGCTGGCAGAACAATCTTAAAGCACTACACAAATGAAACCCTTTCCCCGCCTTCCCCCCCACCCCCAAAAAAAAAAATCTGTATTTCTAGTACTTTCTGAGGACTACCTGGCTGTCATCCACATGATGCGGTTACTCCCCAGGTACTGCCAGGTGGTAATGCCCTCACCGTACAAAATGCCTGAGCCCTTGGGGAAAGGCAATGGAAAAGGGGGAATGGGGGAAAAGAATCACTTTTGTGCTTTTATCTTCCCAGCAGCCCTCAAGGAAACCCAGGACCCACTCCCCCTCTGCCTGCCCCGGGGCCAGTATTGCCCCTGGAGTTGAGTGCCAAACAGAGGATGCTCAATGCCTCCCTGTCCCAGGAACCGAGCTTTACAATCTTCAATACAACAAAATCTGGTGTCTGTGACCAACAAATATTTAATATAAACACATGGCCAGAGCCTCAGTGATGAACGTATCCTTGAAGAGCTCCCAGTGCGCTTGGTCTTGATTCCACAGCCATCATGCCAAGCAGATTGGCGCCTTCAGCTCTTGCTTCCCCTTCCAAGGGTCTCCTTGGAAATACCAACTCCTGCAAGCTCATGATCAGAGCAGCAAGGCAAGAAAAGATTTCATGAAAATGGAGATCAAGAAGAACAGCAAGCTAGGTGGAAAAAAGCAACGAGAGGGGGGGTACAAGAGGAAAAGATATTGGAGTGGAAATGCTTTTTCCACTGCAGACACTAGATGTGACTTATGAACCTCTCAGTAAGTGCCAGCCAGGAGCAGAGCAGCTGTACAACATTAACCTCAAGGGAGATTTCGTGAAGTTGCTAATTAAGGGACTCTGCCAGCACAATTTGCTAATTGACAGAGCAGTTTGGTTACCAGCTCCATGTGTGCCCTTGCCAGGAGGTCCTGCCCACACAAAGTGACTGTGCTCCAATGGCATCCTAATGGGAAAAGCAAACCAATGGCCATTTGGTTCCTATTCATTTTAGTGCACTATATCTTGATGCAAAAAATAAGCATATTCACCACTCCAGCCCACCACCGTGGCTCCCAGGAAGGCACATCCCAGCTTGGGGACAGCTCTCAGGAGTGGACACTGGGGGGCAAATATCGCATTTTGGCTTTTCTCCTGTTCCCTAATCTGCTGCATGACTGGTATCTCCTAAATCCACTGCGGCACCGGGGTTTATACTAAAATATTTAAAGTTCATAAATAAGTCCAGCATACAGCTGGCTGCCTGGGTGTTCACACTTCACATGGCAAACAGAGGGAAAAG